CGTGTCGCGTAGTAGAAGGAGCACTGAGCCGGGCTCAGAAGATGGGTATCTGGAACCAGCCCAGCTCGGTGACTTGCTAGCCCAGGGACCTTTTGCAAGTCACTTGTTTTCTGAGAGTCAGTTTCTGCATCTATAAAAAGGGAAGAACAACCTTCAGTGTGATCATAGTGACATCACCAGGGTGCACTCTGTCCACATGGGGATCTTTGCAGTATTTGGTTGGGTCCTAATGATTTTGATGAATAACTTTTGGATCGTGTGCATGGTGACCTGTTGTTACCCAAAACATTTGTTTTGATCAAATGTCTGGGCCCCCAACCAGGTGAGTAGTAGTTTCTGTGGTGGCATCAAGCAGGAGATGGTCCTAGGCAGCTGATGACCAAGAGGCAGATAAAGCCAGAGGTTATATGTATATATATATATATATATATATATATATATATATATATATAAATCATCCAGCTATTAGAAATTTCCAGACTTGAGAGAACACCACACTCTTGTCACCTTTCTGCAGTCCCCAATGAAACCATTTCTTCTTTGGACCTGAGAGGAGTTTCCTTTGTGGCCTCAAGGCCCAGCCTGCAGGGATTCTATGTCCCCCAGAAGAGATGTTGGGCTCTACCAAGAAGTCACTTGAAAGAGGGAAGGCGAGCTGCATGTGAGGTCACCAAGAGGCAGCTGTGTGGCTGCTTCTCCTAGATGCCTTGGACAGGCCAGCCTTGCCCAGTCCAGCTGCTCTCCCCACCCCAGCTCCTGGAGGGGAACCTGCAACAGCTGAGTAGGGTCTGGTGTCTGTGTCTCTCATCCCAGTCTGGGACTTCTAAATTTAACCTGCTATCAGCTTGAGTGGCTGGAGGGCTTCCACTGTGTGACTAAATGCCACTTGGAATCTACTTCACTTGTAACCGCCCTCCCTGCAAGTCCCCCTCCCAAAGTCATTACCCACAAATGCAGGCTGCCATCTCCCATCTTCGCTCCTTGGCACATCAGCTTGAAGATTTATCCTTCCGAGCACCTTTGCGTTTGTCCTGCCATCCAGCTCTGCTCTCTCCTGCCATCAGTTAGGACTGTACTCCTGTTCTCTGCTGCCCAGCCTCCCACCACACACACACACACACACACACACACACGCACCCCGTGGTCTCTCGTAGGCACAGCCCAGAAGCTGACTCTACAACCAAAAGCCAAACCGCTGCTGTGAACAGCACCACCCATAAGCCATCTGGGTGGAAGGCAGCCAAAGAAGGCGATTATGCAATTTCCTGCTTTGGTGTCTCAGACCCAGCAGGCAGGATGCACTTTGGTTTGCTGCAGTGTGAAGAACCCAGAGAAGAAACCCAATCTGTTAGGACAGGCTCCTTGTCTTCCATGATGATGCAAGAAGAGGCCACTGCCCACCCACGAGGATGAGCCTCTCTCCAGTCTGGAGGTGACTAGGCAGCCCCTCTTCAACAGCAATGAGATGGGCTCACTGTGGGTGAGAAGAGGGCTGACTATAGAAAGACTTCCTGTGGGGGAGAGAAAGGCATTTCCTGCCCTGGAACCTCAGGATGGACAGGGCCAAACGCATGGGCCTTCTTAATAATAGGACCCAATCGCTACTGAGCCCTGAATATGCCCTCACCACAGCCACAAATGTCAGGTTGAGAGCTAGCACCGTGTGAGAGCATGGGGTCTGGAGGCGGTGCTGCAGACTTGGCCCTGCCTCTCGCTACATGCATGACCCCGCTCTTCCTCAGTTTCCTCCTCTGTAAAATGGGGATGATCACACCTCGTGAGGCTATTGTGAGGGTTCATTGAGTTAATACCCAACACAGCACTGTTTTTATGCTTGTCAGCTGTGAGCTGTGAAGCGGCTCCTCATAGAATCGCCATTTTCCACATGAGGTAAGTGGGGATCTGGGGGGACTACATGCCTTACCCAAACTCATACAAATGGGCTTAAGTCCATGAGTCACCCACTCCAGGACCTCCAGGGTCCCCCAGTGCCTACCCTTGTCTAAGAAAGGTCCCACTAGAAGGAGAGGCATTTCTATCAGTGTTTTGACCCCAGGAAACCCCCTCTCCTATGGTGCTCACTGAGCATGGGGCATCAAACCATGCTGTAGGCTGACATTGTCCTGGCAGCTATCTAACCATATGAAGTCAGGTTTGCAGGTCCACAGTGTGGCTATCTAATCACAGGTCCACAATGTGGCTAAATAACCACCTTTGTCATATGGGTTTCCCGTATGCCAAAAAGCCAGCCTGTCCCCAAGTCCTAGCTTTACCCCAAATCCACCACTCTCCTCCATGCAGGCCACCAGCCAGGTGGTACTTTCTGGAATAGGACTGAGGTCCCAGAGCTGGTCTTGGATGGAGAAGAGGCCTTGGACCAAAGCAGGGAGGCTAAGTGGCCAGACTCTCACTGGTCTCTCTGTAGTCCGCTGGTGCCACAATCCCCAGCCTCAGACGGCCCTCCCCACCTCCCCCAACATGGTCACTCCCACAGCCCCAGAGCCACAACCCCAAAAGGAACCACCATGGCCCTTCAGAAACAGCCAGATCCTAGCCAGGCCTATTTTAAAATTACATTTTTATTTCTCTTTATATATATATATATATATATATTTTTTTTTTTAAAAAAAAGGTTTCTTTTTACATTTTTGTCAAGAGTCTTGTGCCTCCTAGTAAGTGCATTGGTTTGTTTTCACAGTACTCTCCACAATCAAGAATAGTTCTTATTGCTAGAAGGATGAGTGAGTGTCCATGCCAGGGAGGACACCAGAGGTCTCAGGGCCCCAGGGAGCAGCCCCGGGGATCTGTGCTCCTGACATGAGGAAGGAGGCTGGGAACCAGACCCAAGCTCAGCTGAGCACCCTTGGTCAGATCTTCCCAGCTCCATCTTTGGAGAGGCAGGAAGGGTGGAGAGAAAGGGGCATGGGGTGATGGGGAGCCAGTGGTCCAGGTGAGCTGGGGCCAGGCATGCGGGGTGGGGACAGCAGCAGAGGCAGGCAGGGCAGACATTGCTTCCTTCAAAATGGGCTCAGTGCCGCCCCCCCCCTCAGAGTCATGCAGGCTGGGGGAGGACTCTCAGCCAGTTCAGGACACACCCCACTGCCACCCCAGTGAGAATCCCTTAGTGATGACCCAACCTAGAGCCAAAACTCTGGTTGTGGACCCCGAGTCCAGGGCCCTTTCTCCCCTTTAGTGCAAAAAAGACCTGAGTGCAGAGAAGGGCCGCTCCAGTTAGAGACCAAGTCCATCCAAGGCAACACCATCACACCACCATCCCCATCCCCACCTGTTCTCAGAGATAGAGCTGGGGCCCCACCTTCCCCCTACTCAAGGCTACAGCCTCTCTGGGTGGCCCAGGCTCCAAACACACAAAGGGGAAACAGCAATTCCCAAAGGGGAGTCCCAGTCATGACACGGGGTCCCTAAGCACCACACCCGCTGTCCACCCTTGACAACTTCCAGTGTTTCCAGCCCAGTTCGTTTCTGGATTGCTTCTGCAAGTCTCCTGGTACGAACTTGGCTTGGGAGACTGAGTGGATGTTAAGCACCCCTTGAATAAATACAATATCACATGGACGATGGAGTCCAGCAAGGATGCAGGTGACTCACACCCTCTCAAGCGGTCATGAGACTCCTACGAGTGGCTCATCTGCAGCAGACATGGATTCTATTTCTTATCTGATGGTTTTCTGTGCTTGGTTATGTTGGTTTGAGTATGGGGCCCAGGTGATGTGGCTGTAGGTTTTGGCAAGCTTGTAGGAATGTGGCTTCAGCAGGGCGCCCCCAAATATCTCCAGATATTGCTACAAAATCTTGATGTTGCTCAAGACTAAGTCCTAGGGCTCCAGAGAGCACACGACCCAAGGGAGGGTGGACTCAAGGACTGGCCACCTGAGCAGAGTCCCCAGGCCACCGCTGAGCAGGCCCAGCCTTCTGGGTGGCTCTGATGCCTCTCTGCCATGGGCCCATCTCACTCTTCCCAGCCCTGGGAATAAGCAGTAGGAAGCTCTGCGGACAGCCTCCCAGACTCCCCAGCTCCAGGGCCACCTATGGCTTGGGTGCCCTCCTCTGAAGCTCTCTGCCCCCACTCTCATCAGTGTGGACACAGAGCCTATCTGCGTCCCCCTAGAGAGCCCTGGAGGAGTAGTAGCCCCTAGAAAGAGCCACAGCCTTGTCTCTGTCCTCTGTATCTACTGGATGATGGCTAGTGAAGGTTGTGAACCCCAGCTTAAAGTCAGACAACCAGTTGCAAGAAGATACTTGCATGCCTGACCCTGAGGCTGTGTCCTGTCAGTCAAGGTGGCTGGCCTTCCAGGCATTTAGGACCCGTGTGAATGGAAAAGGGACAGCCTCAAACTGTGGGCTCTGAGGACTGAGATGGTGAAATTCCCTGGGCTCAACGTCTAGCTCATGGGAGCTTCTCTCTCCTCCCAGACCCATCTAAGGCAAGTTAAGGCTGCCGAGAAGAGAGAGGAGAAAAGGGGCCCCACAGCAGACCTCTCGAGGCCAAAGCTCCCCAGCCTTCTCCACAGGTACCAGGGGGGTAGGGGGCTTTGTGGGCAAGGTTTGTCTGTGGTTTTGTTCTGGCAGAAATGAAAGAAAGAGCAGCTGGTTTTAGGTCTAAACCTCCACCTGAGCCCCTCTTCCGGTTGCCCTGGGCAACCGGAAGAGGGGCTCCTGAGTCTCTCACCTCAGACCCAACCCCCTCTCCCACCACCTCTGACAGAAAGACCCAAAGTCCAGTAGAAAGGAGATCCTGCTTCCTTGTCCTGTTTCGTTTTTCCCTTTAAATTCAGCTTAAGGCAAAAGTTTGGCAAAGCGAGTCTACGTAAGGCCGCATGACAGAGGACAAGGGGGAGCCATGACAGGAAGACCCCTGCTCTCGGCAAATCACCCAGAGTGACATTGGGCTGACGGATCCATGGCCTCAGCTTCCTGCCTGGTGGGCTCCTCCCCCTCCCACCCCTGAACCTCATAGAGAGGAGTTAAAGAAAGAAAAAGAATGAAACCGTGAGAAAAGGAGAAGGAAGATGGAAGGTGATGACACTGATGGACGTATGTGGGGTTTGTCCCATTTGGGTCCCCCCCTCCCTGCAAGGAAGCGGGTTCTGAGAGAGCCGGGGGAGGCCATCTTGGGCATTAGCACAGTGAGATCCGTCCCGCTGGGAAAGGTAGAATGGTTGTATTTTGTTGAATGACAGAGTGTGTTTGGGTTCATTCTGAGCAATATTATTATTGGTGAGTCTGACTTAGCAGGTACCTTGGCTGTTACCGGTGCTTGGGCGGGATCACTACCATTGGGGGCCCATACTTGGGCCGCCACATGAGGACCTGTGCATCGTTGGCGTTGGGCTTGACAAGGGCGCTGGGTGGTATGGGCTCATTCTTGCTCAAGATCTTGGGCTGGTCCTGGGCGATAGGTTCCCGCAGCCGGGCCCGCTGGCCCAGGGGCCTATTGGGGTTCACCTCGATGCTGAGCTGCATCCGCCAGTGCAGTGTCTGCAGGATGATCATGTCGTTGGTTGAGGTGTTGGTGGCCACCAGCCAGGTGGTGAAGCTCTGGTCCCGGTAGATGTTGGTCAGTTTGGCCACATTGCTCTCACTAACCGGCACGGCCCACGTGACGCTGGGGTAGAAGTTGTCATTCATGCTGATGATGAACTTGGAGTCTCTTTTGGTGGGGCCCACGATGGTGCATGTCTCTGTGGTGTTGCCATACCAGGGGTAGTTCACCCCGTCTGAGTCACTGATGGCCTCAATCTTGCCCTCCTGGAGGTCTGGGAGCTCCCAGCTGGACCTGAGGACAAGGAAGGCCAAATGGTGTTCTCAATCACTCAACAAGGCTTTTCTGTGCCTCTAAGGCAGGCCAGGGACTGTCCTGGGTCCTAAGGATAGAGTATGGACAAAGCTGACCCCACCTCCTTTGTCCATGGGAGTGCTTGCCATCTCTGGGGACAGACAGTAAACAGATACCCGATATATTGGGTGAAGCGGGGCTCCCCCATACATAGCCCTCCTTGAAAGCCACATCCCCTTTTCTCATGCTATCTCCAATCAGTAACCCCCCAGGACTGAAATCATTTCAGATGGGGGCTGATCCTCACTGGACTTTGGGAGTAAAACGGTGGTTGGAGGAGCCTGGTTGTTGTCAACACTGGGAGCTGTGGTGCATGCTGGGAGCCAGGCTGAGTGGTATGCCCACCGGCTCACAGTGCTGGCCTCTAGACCTCAGATAGGGCAGAGACCACAGGGTCCCAGGCAGCCATGCAACATGTCAAAGGTGGGCAGGGTGGGTCCTGCTTTCACCTGCCCCAGAGTGGCAGCAAGCTTCCTTCTCTAGGGACAGACAGGAGGCTAGGGTCAGGAGATCTGAGGGTGATCCCTGGTCCCTCCACTAAGCAGCTGTGTGACCTCAGGAAAATGCCTGCCCTCTCTGGGCTTCAGTGTCCTAAGCCATGAAAGGGAAGGCTCCTGCTCCTTGCCCGCAGCACAGTGGTGAAAGGCACAGGAGCTAGGGCCTCCCAGAGCCCTCAGCACAGGGGGATGGGGGCTACTCTAACTGCCACAGCAACTGCCACGTGAAGGTCTGGGCTGCCCAGATTGCCCAGATTGTAGCCAGTGAAAAGACAGAGCTCCTGGGGCCTGCGGCTGAGCTAGCCCTCCCTTCCCCACCACCTGTCCGTCAGTTCGTGCTCACCCAGAAGCAGCAACACAGCTCCCATGGCCGGAAGGGCCTCTGTCTGGTTAGCACCCTTTTTTAGAGCATTAGAGAGAATTGGGGACAACCGGACCAGGGCCCTCTCAATGCTGGGCTCAGGGACAGCTTCATGCCAACTCCTGGACCGGACCACAGAGGAAGAATAAGAAGTCCTGGTGACACGATGGTTAAGGGATCAGCTACTAACTGAAAGGTTGGTGGTTTGATCCCACCAGAGGCGCCAAAGGAGAAACACCTGGCCATCTGCTTCCATAAAGATTAGAGCCAAGAAAATCCTGTGGGACAATTCTACCCTGACATGTACGGTCACCACGAGTCAAAATCGACTCGAGGGCAACGAACAACAAAAGAGAAAGAACAATCAAGAAAATGATTTTGCTCATTTTTCTGTCCATTTCATTGATATGCTCACAAATTAGGTAACTCTTGCCTAGAAGGCCATCTCCTGTCTGGCTTCAACCACGTCCAACTTCCAGGCAGCAGTTTATCCAAGCCCATGTTTCTAAAGCACGTACCACCAGTGCCCAAGGCCACGGAGTCCTCCCAGGACCCTGCCCCTGCAGCGCCAGAGCCAGCAGCAACTGGCCAGATGATGATAATGGCCGTTAGCCCAGGCGCTTCCATTCCACACCAGGGACAGGCCACAGCCAGGAAGGTGGGGTCCCTGTCTGAGTTTTTCAGAGGCTCTGTGCCTTTGTACCCCTGGTGACTCAGCATCTCCTCTGGGAAGGCACTCACTTCTGTCCTCTCACAGTAGATAGCACTTGCTTGGGCAAGCGTTTATTGGTTTGTTTTTAAAGGCACAAAGCGAACTTGCAAAAGGCACTCTGCTCACACCTCAGCCTCCTTTCCACTTCCAAAACTGAAGGGCTTGTTTTGGAGAGCGGGGCCTAGCGCCAGAACGGCCCTGCTCGCTCCACCTCTGAGCTGAGCTCGGGGTTTCCTTTTCTTTCCTCAGCTCCCAAATGCCTGAGCCCCAGCTCAGTCACAGGCAGGTGATGAGCATCACAAACTGGCAGATGAGTAGTGTCACATGTGGGGTATTACTCAGAGTAAGTGACCCTCACGTCAATGGTGTCATGTCTTCAAATCATCACAAGGCCAGTGTGGGTGCAGTCTGGTTCCCTATGGGCTCCCTCAGGTCCCAGGATGGCACAGACCAGTCCAGGATCCAGTCCCAGCACCAGCCACTAGCTTTGCGATCTTAGACTAGTCACAAACTCTTTGACCCTCTATTTCCTCATTAGCATGCTGTGGATCCTTTGCTGTTAAATCAATTCTGACTCAAGGAGCTCTGGTGGCACAGTGGTTATGTACTCAGCTGCTAACCAAAAGGCCCATGGTTTGAACCCACCAGCCCCTCTACGGGAGAACGATGTGGCAGTCTGCTTCCATAAAGGCTACAGCCTTGGAAACCCCATGGGGCAGTTCTAGTCTGTCCTATAAGGTTGCTATGAATCGAAAGCAACTCGATGGCAGTGGGTTTGGTTTGGTAAACTAGATAATCACACTCACCTAGCAAGGTTTCTGTGATGATCAAGTGCACATATATTGCAGAGTGCAGAGTAAACAACAAGAAGTGGAAAGTTCTGGAGGTCATTTGAAAGCTGTGCCTCTAACACGCACAGCTTTGTGATTCCTGATTGAATCTGAAGCCTTTTTAGTCTCATAAACAGTTTGGGATTATTTGTTGTTGTTGTTAGGTGCTGTCGAGTTGGTTCCAACTCATAGCAACCCTGTGTACAAGAGAATGAAACACCACTGTCTGGTAGTGCGTCCTCTTCAAAATCCTTGCTATACTTGAGCCCACTGTTGCAGCCACACTATGTCAATGCATCTCGTTGAGGGACGCTAAGTAGTGAGGAGCTCTGGTGGTGCAGTGATTAAAACATTTGGCTGTTAACCAAAAGGTCAGCAATTCAAATCGACCAGCTGCTCTGAGGGAGAAAGAAGTGGCAGTCTGCTTCCATAAAGATTTACCGACATGGAAACCCTATGGGCAGTTCTACTCTGTCCTGTAGGATCACTAGGAGTCAGAATCGACTCAATGGCAGTGGGTTTGATTTGGTAAGTGGTGAATGCCATAAAGTTGCTGCCTCTTGCATGTCCTATAAGATTTCCTGCTATTTGCTCTGAAATGACCTTGGACTTCAAGGCAGACCCTCAATTCTTTGCTACATGGGGTAAAGGTTTGAGCTTGGATCTAGGCCTCTGTCTGGTGAGGAGATAACATCCCACCTGGGATGGGCCCTAGGGGATGCAATCACTGAACACAGTCGGCTGCCCACTGGCAGGTTGGAGGTTTCCGTCCACCCCCAGGCCGCTCAGAAGAAAGGCCTGGTAATCTGCTTCCAAACAAATAAGCCACTGAAAACCCCAAGGGGTCTAGTTCTACTCTGACATGGTGACGTGGGTCACCATGAGTCAGAATCAACTCAACAGCAACATCCAGGTACCCACATGCAGATGCAACCGAAAAGCACAAGCAGAGCTCTCGGCAGGAAGCGGGGCCAGAAGCCCTCAGCCAATGTATCTGTTTGGGGGCAGGGGTGGGAATTTTGTAAATAAGTTCAAGCCTGCCTGTTTCTGCCGCCCAGGAGTTCACAGGCTTTGCTCTTAACCCCCCACCCCACCAGCCTTCTTCCCAGATCCAAGTGTCTGTTGGACACACCACAGTGAGCAGAAGCACTCATCTCGCTTCTTCCCCTTTTATCCTCCCGCTGGCCCTGCTAGTCTTCAAGGCAGGGCTGCTTACAGAATTTGCAGGGCCTAACAGTTAAGCACTCAGCTCCATGGGAGAGGTCTACTTCTGTAACGATTACAGCCTAGGAAACCCTATGGGGCAGTACTACTCCATCCCATGAGGTCATCATGAATCGAAAATCAACTCCATGGCATCAAACAACAAGTGCAAAGTAAGAACACGGCATCTTTGTTCAAAAAGGGTTAAGAATTTTAACACGGTAACAGCAGAGCACTAAATCATGCCCAGGGCCCTATGCCACCACCCACAAAACTGGCCTACTGCACTCCCACCCTCATTCTCATTGGTGTGGGAACCCACAGGGCAGCAGGCAAGTCCAGGGTTGTACCTGGAACTCAGCATGCTTCCTGAGGCCCCTCACATCATTTCTGAAATGGACTCCTCAGCTTTCTTCAATGCCCCATTCCTGCCATGTTCCTATCCGTCCACTTACTAGAGCACCTACATCAATGCTGGCCACAATACCATGCCCAAGATGGGCTGAGCCACTGTCCCTGTCAGCTCTACACCCTCCAGGCCCCCAGTGTCATCCTGGACTTGCCCTCCCACTTCTGGATTGGCCCTTTGTCCTCCGTCTTCACTCAGCCTCAACTCCTCTCTCCCTGGGAGTCCTGCAGCCTCCACTCCTGCCCAACCATCTATCTGTTCTCCTCCAGCAACTCCAGGGCACTTTTAAAACACAAATCCAACCTATTGTTGTTCCTCCCTCCAATGTTAAACTCACATGGCTCCCCATTGCCCTTACAGCCAGACGCTGTTAATGCCTGTTGTAGTTAAGGTTGTGTGTCAACTTGGCTGAACCTGGTTTTGAGTGGCTGGGCAACTAGTTGTAGTTATTCCCCGTGATGAGACTGGCAATCAACTCCATGGTGAAATCTGCCATGAGCAGCTGAGTAGCTCCTTTAGGGATATGGTCTTTTTCCACATAAGGAGAAGCTTTGGGAATGTTCTGCAGCTTTCTGGCATGCTTGGACCCTGCATGTAGCCCAGTCTTTATTTAGCAGCCTGCCATGTTTCCTGCTGATCTTGGGACTGTCTCTGGACTTGAACTAGTGGCCTGCTGTGTTGTGTGGTGATATTGGGACTGTGCCATTTTATTTGTCAACCTTGGGCTTCTTAGCCTCAGCAGCCAGCAGCTGCCTGAGTGAAGAGGCACCTCTAGCTCCAGTAGTCCAGGAGCAAGAGGCAGAGCTGAAGCCCAAGATTGAGGAGCTTTCATCCAGCCCCTAGAGTTTAGCTATGAACTTGGACTTCTAGCCTCCAAAACTGTAAGAGAATAAACTCGTGTTTCTTAAAGTCACCCATTTGTGGTATT